CGGTGATGCCTGAGATGAGTAATTGTTGATTGTAAGGCGTTTTGCTTAACGCTCGTAATGAGATTTAGATGCCCGGCTGATTCGATTGGGATAGTAAATGAGATAAGAATCTATGAGATGATATTGTAACTGTTGCCGTAATGCATTATACCGTCTAATGTTCGCCAAAATGCTCCTCGAAAAGAAGAAGCCACCCGAACGAGAAATGCCGAATCCATGTCCATCCACAATCACAAACCAGCCCTCTTCATATACTTCTCCAGTCTCTCCTCCACACGAACACCATTCCACAACTCTACCTCTTCCCCACTTCCCTCCTCACTAGAAGGGGCGGAAGAAAGAATTGGTACACCAACCTGCTCAATCATAAAGCTCGCCGCCACACTTCCCCAAGCACTCGCCTCAACCACGCCCCTCCCCCTCGCGAGCGCCACCGCCATGCCACCTAAGAACCCATTTCCCCCACCCGTCGGATCAACTACCCTCCCTTTTTCCTCCTCCCCAAAAAAAGCAGGCAACCACCTCTCAATCCCCGGATCAATCTCCGCCTCCTCCTCCCTCACCAACTCCCCATCCTCATCCAGCAATCCCGCAAACAGCGCCGTCATATCCATATCTAGCGTCAGCCCACCACGAGCATGATTCGCCGGTCGTCGCGCCTTCTTCCTCTTCGCAACGCTAGGACGGCGTGAGCGCCCGCCGTTCTTGGCTACGTAGACGCCTTGGGCGCCGCAGCGGATAACGAGGGCGTATGACTGGAGGGGCATGGAGCCGAGGAGTTGGTCGCAGGCGCGCTCGACCCAGGGTTTGGAGATGGAGTTTGTGAGGGGGTCGATTTCGGAGCCGACGTCGCCCATGAAGCCGGCGAGTTCGTTAGCGTTGGGGGAGAGGATGTCGATGTAGGGGAGGCAGTTGGTGCAGTTTAAGAGTTCCGTGGGGAGGCAGAGGTCGGGGACGGGTTCCTGGCTGGGTTAGAATTGAGGTGGGATTGGGAGGGGGATTTGTGTGTATGAGGGTGATGAAGTGAGATCGGAGAAAGATGATATATAGTGGATGGCTGTTGAATATAGGTTTCAAAGAGATAATGAGACATACCCAAATAAATAGAGGTTTCTCTATATCCTTATTCAGAGCTTTACGAGCGCGGAGAATCGCTGTTACGAGGTCGATGCAGCGGGTTGGAGAGCAGATTAGGTGGAAAGACTTTGAGAGGAGGAGGGAGGGCGTTAGGGCGTCGGTTGTTAGCCGGAGTTTGGGGGTTGTGTATTTGAAGGCTCGATTCTGGGAGGACTCGTAGCCATTCCACCCGCGAGTCCTGGGCGAATTGTTAGTGCTGCAGTTGGAGTATGTTTTGGTTTATTGGGACTTGGTCAGGGGCTGTAAGCGAGGAGTGAGGCAATCCATCCCAATCTATTCAGAGCCCTGCTGTGTCTAAATGGCTTGACGGGAGTAATAAGAATCTATGTACTTACGTTAAGCGACTATGATCCTCCCTAATGAGACAAGAAGTCTGCCAGGAAGCAATCTGCTCTGTAAGACTTGGCGGGAAATCGGACCCTTTATCAACGATCCAGGAAACAGTTCGAGATAGTGGCGGTGGTGAAAATAGCCGAGCTCCTAAAGCTGAGAAAGATCCAGCTCCTCCGAGAATGTCGAAAACTGGAGGTGTTGGTGGGAGATAATGGATTTCATCTGGAGTTCGTTTGTTTGTCAGACTCGATGCGGGTGGCTGCATGATGATGACGGCAAACGAAAAACATAAATCCGACGTCTGGTCTTGGAATGAAGGCAGATACTTGGGCTCGCATTCTCGTGGCCCGCTATGAAAGATCAAAGAGTAAAGAAAAAGTCCTTAGAGTTACGTATTCTAGTGAGGCATGTGCTGGAAGATTTCTCTCTCAATCCCCCACTTTCTTACTGAAGAAACGAAAGACTTCAACTGCATTTGTTGTAGGAAAGTTCGGATTGTGACACAAGCATGTATGTAGACTTCTGCACACGACTGCTTTATACAACAGTGACAATAAAAATAGCAAATATATTAATCAAAATAATATCAAAAGTTTCCGTAAATTCGTTGCCCCCATGTCACACCGACATATGGCTCCGCATAAAAAGAGATAAACAAAAAGCAAAAGCATGACATAAACAAGATAATAAACCATCTCACCTATGATGAACATTCCAAGTGTACAGAAATCTATCTCCTGATCAGGAATAATCTGATCCTCCTCCTCCATGATATTTTGTCGGGGTGATGACCGTAGTTTTGGTGCCTTGTCGTTGTCTCAAGTGCGTCTCGAGGCCAAGGCTGAATAACATTTAGCGATGCAATAGTTTCTCTACGTGGTAGCCTCGCAGGCCTCAGGCGCTGCAGCTGGTGGTGCAGTGTGGTGGTACGCTACAGGCACAGCGCGGCCAAGAGAAATTGTGCAAGGGATCGTCGGACCTCGTCCCGTCTGCGTGGAGCTATCAAAGCAAGTCAAGGCATCAATGTCAACATAACGAAGCTTGGGTCCTGTGTAGAAATCCTCAACTGCCTCTCTCTCTCCTTAACACTTCGTCTCTCTTGCAATTGCGGTCGCAAGCTTCACTTGACCCTCCAAGCCTGTCCCCACACGTCAGTCAGCCAGCCAGCTGTCTACTGCCGCAGCCCATCGCATCGTTGATCATTCCTCAATTCACTCCTGTCACTTGGAACACCTCAGCATCGCTGGTCCCTGCAGCCACCATGGCAGCCAACAACATGCATAATCTGACTACCCTCATCAAACGGTATGGTGATACCTCTCTTTGTTCTTAATTCGCATATACTCTGTCCAATCTGCAATCAATCATGGAGGACAACTCTATACCCACCATCCATAGAATGGATCTAACAGCTATCCTGCGCAGGCTTGAAGCTGCAACCTCCCGACTGGAGGACATGGCATCTTCCTCCATTGATATTCCAGCTATCAATGGAGCTCCCACGCCTGCCCCGACCGGCCCTCTGCCTGCGCCGCCCGTTGCGAAAGCCCCGTCGCCAAAGCCCGTTCAAGAAGCGCTCCCTGAATCTGTCGAAGACTTCGATGCCTTCATTGCTGGTACTGTGAAGAAGTTCGTAAACCTCAGTGATGAGTTGGGAGGACCGGTGGCCGAGCAGGTAGGGAGAATGGCAGATCATACAGTATTTGGCATTTGACAAGAATACAGGCCTCCAGCGTGCTGCGAGCATTTGCCGGACAGCGAAAGTTCATCCTCATTACGACGAAAGCGAAGAAACCTGATATGAGCAGCCCGGTCTTCATGCAACTTTTGAAACCTCTCCAAGACTCCATTACGTCTGTCAGCGAACTTCGCGATGCCAACCGTGGATCACCCGTCTTCAACCAGCTCAGCGCTGTTTCCGAAAGTATTGGCGTACTTGCTTGGGTTACAATGGACTCAAAACCACACAAGCACGTTGAAGAATCTTTGGGGTCTGCACAATACTGGGGAAATCGAGTTTTGAAAGAGTACAAGGAGAGGTAAGGGGAACATATGGCATTCTGAGGCATACTAGCTGACTCCTGGCAGCGATCCGAAGCAAGTCGAATGGATACAATCATACTACCAAGTATTCAAGGATCTCGCAGACTACATCAAGCAGACTTTCCCCCAGGGCATTCCGTGGAATCCTAAGGGACTATCCGCAGAGGAGGCGATCAAGGCCGTCGAGCAAAATCAACCTGCACCTGCTGTTTCTCAACCAAAAGCTGCGGGAGGAGCGCCCCCACCACCTCCTCCCCCAGGGCCTCCTCCACCACCTATAAAGTTTGACAACGCTCCTCCTCCGCCACCGACTGCTGGAGGTGGACTCGATGCTGTATTCAGCGATCTGAACAAGGGAGAAGCTGTTACAAAAGGTCTCCGAAAAGTTAATCCTGACCAAATGACACACAAGAACCCATCGTTGCGAGCTGGTGCTACAGTCCCACAAAGAAGCGACAGTGCATCAAGCGTCTCCTCAAACCGTGGGAAGAGCCCTGCACCTGGGAAGAAGCCCAAGCCAGAAAGCATGCGGACGAAAAAGCCCCCTGTCAAAAGGCTTGATGGAAACAAATGGATCATTGTAAGTTCAAGTTGCCAGATTGTGCAATTTAGTACTAAAAGATAGCCAGGAAAATTATGACAACGAGTCTACGCCAGTTAAGATCGATGCTACCATGGCACAATCTATTCTGATAAGTCGTTGCAACAAGACCACCATCATGGTCAAGGGCAAGGCGAACGCCATCTCAATCGACAATTCTCCACGACTCTCTCTAGTAATAGAATCTCTGGTCTCCTCCATCGATGTCATCAAATCATCCAACTTTGCCCTCCAAGTCCTCGGCACTCTCCCAACAGTCATCATGGATTCCGTCGACGGCGCCCAGATATACCTCGGCAAGGAGAGTATGCAGACCGAAGTCTTCACCAGTAAATGTTCCGGTGTCAACCTCAACATCATCTCCGGCGATGATGAAGAAGACGAGGATTACAAGGAGGTTCCTCTACCGGAACAGCTGCGCACGTACATTACAGAGGACGGAAAGATCGAGACTGAGATTGTGGAGCATGCTGGGTGAACGTGTACTGGTCGATGGATGTTGTGCTGAGTGGTGGGCATTTTGAAGCTTAGAACATTCTTGTAGAATATGATGTGTATTTATCATTTCAGGAGTTGAGCCGGGAGCTTATCCTCTTGGGTTGAGTCTCGAGGCAATTCAGAGCATTTGGCAACGTCTGTTGTCCTTCCCTTCCGTGCCGAAAATAGCTTGATCGATTGACAGGCCTTATTGTGTGAGGATCCACTTCAAACCATAGAATTCGCTTAGCCCAGGGAAAAAGAGAAGACAAATTTACCATCATGAAAAAAGAAGAGGCAGTTCAAAAAACACAAAAAGAATCGTGTCCTAAAAAAAACTTCTTAAAGACCAAAGGCTTAAAAAAGATGTGTTCGTATAATCAAGGTATCTCCTTGATTCGCAGATGAATGCGGCTTCTGTGGATCGAACACAGTGCCTCCAGATATCGAGATTCCTGAAGTTTTGAATGCTTCAGTCTGGCGCTCTCCCAAGTGAGCTAAAGCCGCTTTTTGGGGGTGTTTGATGAAGAGAGGAACGCTGTATTTGGTTTATGAGTTAGGAGAGAGGGGGAGAGCAGAGCTTGATGAATTGGTTGTGGGGTGGTGGGTCGGGAGGATGTCGGCTGCTGGTGGGTTGGAGTTGAGTGGAGTGGAGTTTATTGAGCGAGGCGTGATATATCAAATTGGTTTGATTTAGGTCGTGGAATGAAGGGATGAAGAGTTGAAGGGCTTGAGGTATATGGTGTGGAAATGGGGTTTGGGATTGGATTTGTTGCTGTGAGTATAAGTCTTGGTGCTTTGTTTCTGCTGATGATTGTCGTTGAAGATAAGGGACCAATACTCGGCCCAGACGGAATAGGACATTTCTTCGTAATGTCTGATGCAGCTGGATTTACTGTGATCAAGTATAGATGCATCAACATTTTTTTTATGTCTTGTCCGAGCAACGTCACTTGTACTGACATTCCCTGAGGTGCCCGAGACGACATGGTCTTCTTGAAAGTCCCTTCGCAATTATATGTGGTAGAAAAGACATTGCTGACAAGCGACATAATCCCGAAGTACCACGCGCTAGCCTGCTCGATAATCTGAACAGTTGTAGGAGCTGAATGTCTTCTTCACGGAGGTCGACACCAGCCCAATTGTTCCGTTGCTCGTGCGAACTGAAGTTCTCGATCCAAATCACTCTCACACCGAGGTAGCCATTGTGGATCATCACCATAAAAATGCCATGATCCCATGTTCACTGACAATAATCAACGTCGATTCTCCAGTTGTCGTCCGACCAGGTCAATTCATGACTCTGTAGATATGTACAAGCGCCTTGCCCACCCACCCAACATCCTTCTATGATCCACCACTCGCTTTCTTCTCCGCTTCGTGCTCCTTGATTTGTTTGCTCCAGCTAGATATCAATTAGTACAATGCCCGGCCACAAGAAATACCAGGACAACATACTACCGACTTGGAAAGAATCGACCCTCCTCAGGAAACCTCGTCCGCACCTCCCTCTCTGCGCTCAACTTCCACATCATTGCCGTGAGACCAACGATAACAACGCCGAAGACTGCCGTGTTTGCTTTCCAGTTCGAGGGTTGTGAGTACCAGCCACCCGCTGGGGACCAGACATGTTTGGGATATCTAAGGATTGATTAGAGATGGTGTTGAAGAAGCCATTGCGAGCGATTGACTTACGGGATCTTGCCGCCGCCGCCCTAGAAGCTGTTAGTAATGATATAATCTAAATTCCAGGGTTTTCGAACATACCATCTTGATCGATTGTTTTGATTTGCGGGTTTGAATCTGCCGTCAAGGAGAACGGAACGTTGAACTCGGATGAGCTCCATTAGCGCGATACCTCTTACCGCACGTGACCATAAATTTCTATGATGGCCTGTCTGGAAGCTCGAATTTTTGATCGGCCAGAAGGGAACAACACAACGCCGCATCCCACTCACGAGACCTTGCATTTCCTTTCCTTCAATCTGCAGGGTTCGAGAGAGGAGGATCGATGAAGAGAATTAGATTGGACCGTTTGGGTGGGCAATTGCTCTCGCCGCGCAAGAGCACACGACCTTGTTGTCTACGGCCTCGAAATCCTCCTTCGACAAGCTGCGTAGCTAGCTCTACACAACACCAGCAGATACGGTCACAGTCCTCATTCTCTTCACCTATTTCAGATGAAGTCGTATACGAAGATGGCGAAGAATCAGAGATACGGCCTCTGAGCGAGAGACATCCATCAAGCCCCTATCCCTCACCACTTCCAGACGCAGCATTGCGCTCTGCAAAGCTCGCTGCTCTACATGCCCGGCTGTCTCTACCCAAGATATTACCACTGCAGACAATGGCACGCACGCTCGTCGACCCGTCTGCAGACTCAAACACAAACTTCAATAACGCCTCGCTAGCTCAAATCGGTGGCTCTTTGATATCCTTCCACGTCTCAGAGTACCTGCTTTGTACTTACCCACGACTACCTATTTCCGTCCTCTTCGCCGCGGCATATGCGTACAATGGCCCAAAGACATTACAGATGATTGGCCGGGAATGGGGTGTTGAATCCGCGGCAGTCCCGGGCTCGGAAGTAGACCCGGGATACTTGCAGTTCTCGAAGCTGCAAGCTGGAGCGGAAGTTAAGGCGCAGGGAGGAACTACCAGGCCGGACAAGGCGTGGTTCTACAGGAGGGGGATGAGCAGTAGAGTGGTGTACGATGACGAGTTCGGAGACACGATTTCGAGAGATAGAGATGAGACGGCGTCTCTACCATCCGAGACAGCATATTCCAATTTTGTGAAAGCAGTAGTGGGGGCGCTGTACTTGCATGCTGGGCGGGAAGCTGCGAAGACGTTTGTCAAGCAGCACATTCTGAGCCGACATCTGGAGATCTCGACGTTGTTTCAGTTCAAGGAGCCGGTGAGAGAGTTGGCACGGTTATGCGCACGAGAGGGATTCGAATACCCTGTCGCGAGGATATTGAGTGAGACGGGAAGAAGGAGTAGGTCGCCTGTGTTCGTGGTGGGGATATACAGCGGGAATGACCAGCTTGGTGAGGGTGCTGGAGCGAGCTTGCCAGAGGCGAGACTCAGAGCTAGTGTCAATGCTCTGAAGGCTTGGTATCTGTATAGTCCCGGCAACAATGTGCCTGTGCCTAGCGATACGGAGTCAGCGAACGCAAGGCCTTGGGAGCCGGTGCATATCGATATGGGAGAGGTGATACATTAGGGTGTACCTATAAGATGGGCAGGGAAGTTGGGGAAAGATGTATGCATAGCGAGCGTGCGTGCAGCATTGTATGATGGAGAGGAATTACTGGCCAGCTCTCAAGATCAGAGTGGACGCCTTGTGTATTATTGGAATCTTCTTGCGTCAAAATCATGCATTGTAGGAGCCGAGATCATTGGGTTGGAGTAGATGTGCAAACAGCTGTAGAATATATTGGTGGACCAGGTAGATTCAATGATACACTACCCACCTCCCATAGCGACTATCTCTTGATTTGTGAAAAGTGCGGGTTAACAACTACGTGTAAATGTGTGAGTGAAGAAAAAGACTTTGGCGAACCGTCTTTTTCCGATTGTTATCCATGACTGGCAAATAGGATTTCATGCAAAAACAAGCTCTTGTCTCTTGAGCTTTTGTGGAGGCCTCCCGAGATTTACTTGTTTACTTGATGCGATGTCTGTTAGTGTTCCTGTTCCTGGCACGGTAGCTCATTCCGATTGGCCAATTCAAACATTGTAACCAACGGACTTGAACGAGCGGGATTGAAGATGCCAGATGCAATGAAGATCAATTTTTTGGTGTCTATAAAGTGTGTGTATGCTATGGACACCTTGTGCAATCATAACCTGGCAAAATGCTGCCAGTACTCTGTTGTTCGCATAATATAATCGTTCGTTTCCTTTTACCCATGTAATAGGGGCAAAGGTGGCCGTGAGCAGGATATCGACCAATTCGAGAGTAGCCAGAGGAGAGAAAACAAAAGATTCCTTAACGCCTGCCATGGATGAATACCATACCGCCCCGATCGATGCATGAAGACAAACTACATGCTTTGTCAGTCTCCGAATCGCCTTGGGTTCTGAGACTTGCTTCCTCAGCCCATTATCAAGATGCTTACCGAAAATCAAAAAGATTCGGGTATCATGAGTCGGACTTGACGTCAACTTTCTTGGCTGGCTTCTCCTCTGCTGCTCCTGTATCCTCCTCACGAGCACGCTTGTTGCCATTGGAGGCTGGCTCGTCGATCTTGGTGTCAACCTTCTTTGCGGCGCTCGCTCCAGCACCGTTTGCTTCCTCCCGATGGCTCTTCGTCTCAGAGCCATCCTCAGTCTTGACTGGAGCATCCTCGGACTTGACCTCCTTTGTATCGGCCCTGGTAAATGTCAGTAATCCTCCAAGTGACAATAGTAATTGGGATTCGAAAAGGGAGGTTTGAGAATTACTCACTTCTCCTTTGCTTCGCGCTCCTTATTTCTGTCGTTGCCCCGATTGTCACGTCGATTGCCACGACCTCCACGATTGTTATCTCTGCCGCGGCCTCTGTTGTCCTTGCGGTTGTCTCTGAATCCGCTGGCGCGATCCTCCTCACGACGCTTTCTCCAATCATCAGGGTCCCGATCGCCACGATCACCACGGGCTTCCCGACGGTCTCCACGTTTGTCACCCCCACGTCGATCTCCCCCACGATCACCTCCTCGTCCCCGTCCGCGACCTCGTCCTCTGTAGTTGCGTTGCTCCATAGGCTCGATCTTGCCAGACTTGATCTCTTCCTCCTTCTCGTTCATGTAACTGGAAACACGAGTCAGAAAAGATTCAAGCGCAATGTAAAGGCTCTAAAAAGTAAAGAGCTAAGAAGAGGAGGACCAAAATAAATGAAGACTTACTCTCTCTTAGACTTGATCAAGAGTTTATTTCCCTTCCAAAGAGGCTTTGGATCTAGAGCGAGGAACTTTTGCGCAGTCTCGTCATCCTGGAATTCAACGAAGACGGATCCCTTGAAGAGCTTCTGCTCAGTACGACGAAGACGAACAGAGTTGGTGGGGCCATATGGAGCGAAGAAAGCCTCGATATCGAATTGCGAACCTGGCTCTTCATCGCCAAAACCTTTAGCATAGATAGATCGGGATTCTGCTTTAGATTTTGGAGTGTCGGGATCCCACGCAACTGCGCGGTTGACCATCTCTGAGCCTTCTGAGCCAGAAACGACGAGGAATTTGCTGGCGCGAAGTGCTTCCACGACGGCAGATCGTGGCTGAAAGCGCTTCATGCGCCCGAACTCACAGATCTTGGAGATTGGGACAGGAACGTTGGAAGCTCCTTGGGTCAGGCCTTGAAGGTAGGTATCGGTGGGCAAATTGGTGTCAGAGAAGTAGAATTCAACCTGGAGTAAAAGTGTTAGTGATTTTGGTGAAGAACTGGGGCAGTGCGACTGTCTACCTGAGCCCGGATCTTTGCTGGATCGTCAGTAGTAGGCAAGATAGATGGGTCGTATTTGCTGTTA